TATAAGTAACAGCCTATCAAGAAAAAATAGCAATCTGAAATAAATAATAACATGATGTTGATATAGAATTAAGGGGAAAACCAGAATTATAATGAAAAGAATAGTAATCTAGTCATAGTTGGGCATTAGAGCAAAATACTTTCAGAAATTAATAGGTAATACTGAAAAAAATAAGTTCATAAAAACAAGATCAACAAGCTTGATATAGCAGATACATAAAGAAGTCTGCACTCAGGAAATAGAGCATAGATACTACATTAAAATCCATATTACAACTTCAAATACTGAAAATACACAAACTAAAACTTCTCAAATTTTCAGAGTCAGTATCACCAGTGTCCACTTTTACCGTAATGATAATAAGTGTAAAGTTAATTATGAAAAGATAACAACATATTTAAAAACTAAAAATGCACAGTTTGCCTTGGAAAAAGCAAATTAACAATGAAGAAAATTATGTGTCAAATGAGGAATATAGATAAAACAGGAAGACGCAATGAGCAATATTAAATATAGGAAAAATATAAAAACTAATGTTATTGGAAAAGTAAAGAATTATTAATCTTATTAACATCAGAGCCGCCTTAGGTATTTTATTACATTTTAGAAAAAAGTTCACAAAAAAAGGGGAAAAGGTTTACTTATATAAAAAATAATTAGAAAAAAGCTATAAAATCAAAATGTATACATTTTAACAATGATAAAAGAATGATATAAAACAAAATTAAATTTAAAAATTAAATATTAATTAGGTAGAAATAGAAACTTACATAGAAATGCCTCCTTTTGTATTAAAAGAAATTTCAAGTAATAAATGTTCAAAAAAACGAGTTGATACTCAGAATTCTATTACCAAGGAATACAAATTCACCTACATTTAAAGGCAAGCTTTATGAATCATGAAAGAGCAGCTAATTTTCCTAGTGTATGAAATCTCTGAGAATAAAAGAAGGAAATATATATCCAGTTTGTTTTATTTGACTGACATAATATTAATAACTAGAAAACAAGAGGGCAGGAGAGGAAAAGAAATTGAGTGGACAAATCTCAAAATAAGCATAAATGCAAAAACTTCAAATACCAGTCAAACAAAGGCAGCATCTTTCAAATCAAACAATATATGTCCTTCTAAGATAAAATACAACTTAAAAAAGTACTAGGTGACAAGTAGGAGTATATACACTAGTAAAATCAAAAGCAGGAAATAGAAAACATAATTACTGAATTCTTCAGGTGTGGCAAGCTTGAGTAGGAATGATGAGCCGGAAGTTTGTAGCTGGCCTTTCTGGACTCCAGACGCCCTTGGACAGCAGCCTGAGATCTCCAGCCACAGCCACTTCTGCCTGAGCAACTCTGCCAGGACAAAGCCTTCTTTGAACCTCCTGCAGACCACAGCTAGATAGATGACAGTAGTCTGTTCAGTGTTTCCTTACTTAGTACGTATGAGACATAAAATAATTCAATTAGAAATTTAGGCTTTCCCTTTTTTACATCTGAAAGATGTAAAGAATGAAAATAATTCTTACTCATTCTTTCTTAATCTGAAAGATGTAAAGAATGAAAATAATTTCTGAAAGAATGAAAATAATTATTTAAACCACAAAGAGACCATCAGATCGTCACAGCCATAGTAAATTACAATTATAAAACAAGATTGGTTTATTTCCACTTCAAAAAAAATACCAAAAATAGCAGTCCACGGCCTAGAGAAAATTTTATCTTTCTCCTCATTTTAGGTTCAAAATTAGTAGAAACTAAAGGAAACAGACTGTTTCCTAGAGAGAATATTCTTTGTTGTGTTTTACTTGAATTCTACAAACTAATATTTAACAAGTCCCATGGGGAATACTTAACTAAATTCCTAACTTCTGAACATTTCTCCCACAGCTCCTCTGGGTCTTGATATCTGAAGTAACTCTAAAATTAGTATCCTTTGTGGGGATCTTATAAAATCTACATAGATATAGGATATCTGTTCATATCTGTTATAACAAAACTCAGCCAGTATTGGAAAGGATGGAAACGATATGTAGGTTCCATCTGCCCTGAATGCTAGTTAACTTGGAGGTCACTAGTTGTAGAATTTGGAGCATTTGAACCCACCATAAATCCACCATCATGGAAACTGCCATGTATAAAGAAGTTCTGCCTGAGTAGCCAGGCAACTGCTCGTTAAATATAGGGTTGCAACCCTAACAGCGAACAAACAGCAGCAGCCGCAGCAGCTGGTCCTGGACTCCAGAGCTAAGTATGGTGAGAGCCCTTCTCCCTGAAAGGCAGCAACAGGGGGTGTGAGGTGGACCTTTGCCCCTTCTCCATCTGTGATCTTTCAGAACACATTGAGACGTCAGTGAGCTTATCAGAGAAAGAGCTCTTCTGTTGGGAGAGAGTTCAGTCTTTGTTGGGCACTTTTATTTCCAAGGATCTTTTCAGAAGAAAAGAATTGCAATGTAAATATCTGATTTTTTTTCCTTATTTGTGCAGCTTTATCAAGCTCATATCCAGCAATCTTTCCATTTTCATTTGTAGACCTTACATCATCTAATATTCATCAAGTATACAATTTCAGACACACTGTAGTGAAAGATCACAATTCAAAATATAATTGTGATTGACTGTTAATGCCAAAGTCCTGCTACTAAGATACTTGGCTACTCTTTTAACATAATTTATCAATGTTTTAGGTACACTGAGCATGCTTAATTTACTTTCATCTATTCAATATTAAGTTCTTTGTTTGAATTTTAAGATAAAATATCTGTTTGAAAAATTTGTTTGTACAAGCTTCTACTGCCTCATAAAATTGTCATGATTTCCTGAAATAATGAACGTAGTCAACTACAAAAGGAGTTTATGTTATAAAGCAATATTCTGAAAGTTTTACTTTTAGTGTGACAATCTTTTTTATGAAAGAAAGAAATATTAGCATTATCATATTTGTGAATCCTTTCAACATGGTTATAAGTACCTGAAAATGAAATCTATATTTAAACATCTCCACGTGAAAAAAATGTAGTAGTATATGTCATATGTTTAGGAGACACCTGTGGAATGTAGATTTTCGTTATTAATACAAAGAAATACAAAGAAGAAGAGATGTTACCCAGGGGTCATTTTATTTGATTTCATTGGATGCTGTTGTAGTCAGGGGTTGTACACAGAGAACAATTAGGATCAAGATATGGAGTTTATAATATTATTTTTATAATGGTCACCGGGAGTTAACACAGGAAAATGCAGGAAATCTATCCGCAACACCAAAGACATAGATTATTTAGTCAAGAGCCTAAATCCCATAGCAATGTCCCACATGAGTCCAGATAAAAACCCAGAGCTCAAGACAATGCCTCCCATGAGTCGAACTGGAGGTCCAGAGCCCACAAGAAGGACTTACACCATTCTCTTTTATCTATCCGTGCCGGGAAGACACAAGGGTCAGAAAGTCTATGCCAGCAGGGTGAAGGAGCTGTGCTAGTGGCTTGAAGGTTCTACGCTGGAGCTGAGAAGTCACACTCACAACAAAGACCAGGGCTGTCCTGAAAGGCACCACAGCCATTCTCAGAGACACAGAGGCCCCGAGCTCCTCCGATGACAAGCACAGTCGGGTACAGGCCAGCATGCAGTGTGACGAGTTTATCCTGGAGACCAAGCAGCACACTTCTTACCCTCTGGAGCCAGGAAGCAATGTTTGATGTCAGGACCGGAGTGTCTCCAGGAGAACCAGCAGCTCAAACAGCAACTCATGGGAGAACCCACAATGCCTCCTTAACACCTCAACCCTCAACACCTCCCTTTTTCTCCACCTATTTATTCTGATAATTTTCCTCAGGTGGAGCATGTTTGCTCAATGCCATGCTGATGTAATCCAGCTGTAGTTAAGTTGACCACCAGTTCTTAATCCATAACAGATGCCTTCAAATGTGAAAATTTAGACACAGCATGGCAATCTTTATTGGACAACAATACTCCAAAAATGTTAAAGAGAAATACATTGTAAATTATTTATACATTTATAAACGCTATAGAAGTAGAGGACCTTCACATTCTCCAACTGAACTTCTTACATAATGCATGAATCCAGTGTGAATAGCTGGTTGATCAGTCTGTGGAATGGATCCTTCTTTGACATTGATTGACTACTAGTAAAAACCATCTCTCAAGGAGATGACTCTACTTTTTCCAAAACTATTTCTCAGATTGAGAAAACATTGTGTCTTAGCAATTCTACTGCGAACTTTTCTGAATTTCCTTGAAGTAATGCAAAAGTTCACTCTCTCTTGCTAATGATACCTTTAAAATATTATCAGAAAAAAGAATGGAAGAATGATTAGTAGGAACTCACTTATGAATTTTTCTAAGATTCTTATTTTAAATGTGAAATTCAGAGCCAGAACCCAAACTTTCCCCAGGTGTAAAAGAAAAACAGCTTTCCAATATACATGAAGCCAAATTTACAGCAAACTGCCATTGTGTTAGTTCAAGTATACAGTGCCAGTAAGATCACAAATCTAACAAGTAATTCATACTTTGAAGGCATAAATCCATAAGAAAATTGGATAGATGGGTCATTAGCATCCCTCTTCTCATCCTTCTTGCAGATGTGAGAGATACCAGCCCACTTGCACATGCAAGAGCTGTGTACACTGTAGTGTAGAAAAGCACGCAGGCAAACACCTGCTAGAATAATAAAAAGTGCAAGGTGTCCACCACTGTGAAGGTCATCTATATACTGACATTATTTGAATTTTGGTGGAAGTGAAAATAAATACACAATGGCAATAATATTTTAACAACATAAGCATTTAATTTATAAGTTATAAAATCACTTCCTTTTCATTTTGAGAGCATAAGATTAACTTAGCTTCTGATTAATAAGCAAAAAATGTCATTGAAGGTTTATTCTCAAGAAACGTCACACAGGGTCCCGTGGACAGTGGCACAGGTTCAGAGACAGCCTTGTTTTCAGAACTGTTGAGCTTTCTTGTCTTTTTCACAGAGAAATGGGAGGAAATGAGACCTCAGTCTCAGAGTTCATCCTCCTGGGATTCCCTCTTAACCCACGCATGCGGACGCTCCTCTTTGGTCTCTTCTCCCTCTTCTATGCCTTAACTCTGCTGGGCAACGGGCTCATCCTGGCCCTCATCTGCCTGGACAGCAGACTGCGCACCCCCATGTACTTCTTCCTCTCCCACCTGGCCACTGTGGACATCACTTATGCCTGCAACACGGTGCCCCAGATGCTGGTGAACCTGCTGAGCCCAGCCAAGCCCATCTCTTTTGCAGGCTGCATGACTCAGACATTCCTCTTTTTGACATTTGCACACACAGAATGTCTGCTCCTGGTGGTGATGTCCTATGACCGCTACGTGGCCATCTGCCACCCACTGCGGTACTCTGCCATCATGAGCTGGAGGGTCTGCATCGCCCTAGTGGAGACTTCCTGGATTGCAGGCATCCTCTTGGCCCTTGTCCATCTAGCATTACTCCTACCATTGCCCTTCTGTGGAGCTCAGAAAGTCAATCACTTTTTCTGTGAAATTCTAGCTGTTCTCAAACTTGCTTGTGCAGATACCCACATTAATGAGGTCATGGTTTTGTCGGGGGCAGTGTCTGTGCTGGTGGGGCCTTTCTCTTCAGTTGTGGTATCTTACATTCATATTCTCCGTGCCATCCTGAGAATCAGGTCAGGGGAGGGTCGCCAGAAAGCCTTCTCTAACTGCTCCTCTCATCTCTCTGTGGTTGGACTTTTTTATGGCACAGCTATTGTTATGTATGTTGGACCCCAACATGGGCATGTGAAGGACCAGAAAAAATATCTCCTGCTCTTTCATAGTCTCTTTAATCCCATGCTCAACCCACTGATCTATAGTCTGAGGAACAAAGAGGTAAAAAATGGTCTGACTAGGCTGTTCCTAAAAGAAAGAACTTCCTGAGTGTCTTATTAAACATTCAAATCATTGACCTAAAGTTATCTGAGAAGTCGTATGATCCAACACCTTGCAATGATAGCTAAGGATCTTTTAGAAGACATGGTTTCCATCTTCCTAAAATTGCTGTGTGACCTCTCCCCAGAAGCCTATTCTGTTCTCTTGTCTCTAGCACTGTAGGTTGATGCTGCATAAGTAATGAAATATTTTCACAGTAACTGCATAATGCGCGTAGTATTTGCATTTTAAGGTGGTCATGTGATATGTTATTCTGAGTAAGACAGAACAAACCTGTGCCTTTTTGTTCTAAAAAGAAGCACTGCAGAGAAAATACTATGAATTAAAGCAAGGAATTGGAAGATATTTTAGGACACAAGGTAAGAAACTGATAATATAGTCGTTATTCAAATATTTTAATTCATAAATGCCAACTCCTTTATAAATATTGGATAAAAATGTTGGAAACAACTCAACTGTTCATCAGTTTTGTATTAAAAAGTTATGACATAACGAAAGTTATGGTATTGTATGGAGCACTATTCAGCTATAAAGAAGAATAAACTTGAGGCTTTTATAGGTAAATGGATGCAATTTAAGACCATATTAATAAATGTAATAAGTCAAACTCACATATGTAAATATTGTATTGTTTCCTAGTGTAAAAACCTGAAAGAGTGAATAAGATCCAAAATAGATATTGTGACACTGAAAGGGAAAGAAAGTGCTTGAAAGGAAACAACAACTATAATAGGGGAAAGGAGTAAAAAAAGAAGGGAAAAGAGTATATGCATATATATATATATATATATATATATATACACATACATATATATAAAAATAGATAACTATACTACTAATCTCTGTTAGTTCATCAAAAAAGCAGTTTGCAGTTTTATTGTTTGAAAGTTTGATCTGTTTTGATGCCTAAATTTACCTTGGAGACATCAATATGCAATTTTTTTTTCTTACCAGGAATTCAACTCATGACCTTGCACTTACCTGGCAGGCACTTAAGCATCTGAGCTCAGTGCCCGCCCTTTGAGCTAAATTCCCAAGCCAGTATGCAGAATATTAACTAGTGTTAATTTTCTATTATTTTTGTTTTGAAATGCTGTATCATCATTTTTATTGGTTTCCTGTTATTTGTTTTTAAAACAAAAAAAATGAGGTCTACATCTAAAATATTTGCATGTATTCCCAAAACAGTAATGTTTTATGAAACATAAGTAAGTTAGAGAATAACAAGAGCCAAAAATTCAAGGTAAAGCAACTTGACAATGTGATTAGTACAACTTGCCAAAAAAACTTCAGGCATCATGGTAATATGCATGTAGATTCACCAATGTTTTCTCTGTACCTCTCTATGTCTACTCATTGTCATAGGAAAGAGCAATGGAGAGAGAGAAGGATGAAAGTGAGAACCCAAAAATAATTACATGATTTTTGTCATTGGTTTAGTTGATTGTCAGTAATGGAAAATGATCAAACAGATAATGCTTCAAATAGAAGCAGACTGGAATTTTTGTAATAACTAGCTGAACAGTGATACTAGAGTTATAAATAAAGAGGAATACTTGGTTTTTAAATTGCATGTTTGAGGGCAGTTAATGACCTCTTTATTCAGCCATGAAACTCTTCCATTTAATTATACAAGCTAATAGATGAAGTATTGAAAAGAATGTATAAGGGCATTTTTTTCTATTCTTTTTCTCAAATTATATATAATTTAATTTAACCTTATAACTACTCTAACTCTTTATAAACACTAAATTTTTAAAAAAGATAATTTCTGCAGAGAAGATTTTTGAAGAGGAAAATATATGAATTTCTCTCTCATAAATCATCCTCTTTTCAAGAACATCTGTCACAGACATGATCCCATGACAAAACATGTTCAAATCACTTGTGCTTTGAGTTCAGTTAGGTATAGTTTTTCACAAAGTTCTGGTGATTGTTCTCTGTGCAGACTTCAGTATTGTGTGCAAATTTTTAAGAATGCAGATGGAGTTTCTAACACTCGGTTCACATGCTTGCTATGAGGACAGGAGGAAATATTATGTCAAAATGCTTAGCAGAATCTAAGATTCATAGTCAGTAGCAAAAAGGTACTTCTTAATTGTAGCCACTACATTTCCTCACATATACATTGTACACGTATCCACATATACATTTGTTATATCTTTAAACAAGACGGATAATAATTTATAAATAAAACAACAGAACATGCAGATTTCCCATTTTACCAAATAAAAGCAGAATTGTTATGAAATCAAGCCATATTTAGAAGGCCATGAAGTCAAATAATTTATGAGTAAATGATCCTGAAAGCCATACCTTTATCTAACAATTTCTGAAAATGACTATAAAAAGTACATGCATAAGAACAACTCAAATTGTTAAATCAGTGCACACTCTCATGCTCACAGAAGCACATGCATGCTTTGCTGGGCCCTTGGAATGAAAGAGTGAGCACAACATGTTTCTTGCTGTCATTTTACTTACTGTCTAGTGGGAAGTGGAAAACAAATATATAGGTGGAAATTAACAGTTCTACGTAATAATTAATCACTGAGATATGCACAAGTAGTGAATACAGCCCAGAGGAAGCGTAACTGACCCAGAATGACAAGGAAGACTTCTGGGAGGAAGAACATATCAGGAAATAAGAGTCAGCCAATGAGGCCGCAAGAAGCAAATAGGAGTGGAAGAGGCAAAGGGAATAAACAGCACATAAATAGCTATTGTAAACTAGGTAGGTGATTAAAAGTAACTCCAGGTTCTTCAGGTATAAAGTACAAGGCTTACAACAAACAAGGTTGGAAAGAAAGCAGAGTCTAGAGGAACTCCTGTTCCAAGCTAGCGTCCTTACCTCACTTCCATACAAAATGTGAGGCATTTTGAAAATGGCAAATAATCAGATATTAACTTAGTCTTCTGAGTTTCATGTGACAAATTCGGCCTCAAATAAATGTTACTATACTGATCTAGAAAAAGAAAAGCTGGTGAGAGGCTGACGTGAGTAAAGTGGGAGTGAATGAACTACGTGGGGAAATTATTTCTCTACTTTCAGATTTATTTTCATTGAATGTAACAACCCTCTTGATTTCAGTGGAGAATGGGAAAGCCCAGATATACACTCATCTGGCCACTTGTTTTTCTTCACTTTCCCCTACCCTTCACTGAGACCAAAGTGGCAGACTTTTTACTTTTGTAAGTGGCTTTTACATCCTAGGCTGAATTTTCTCTACCATTTTTTTCCAATTGTTCATGGTTCTAAAAGCTGGAACACCCTCCCCTACCAAATAAAGCTACATACAGAAACCATGTAACAACATCTAATTAGAAATGAGGAAAAGGAGTGAGGCAGTTGAGTGGAGGAAAGTTCAAGGGTATCTTACTAAAATTGGCCACTGCTCAGGGTCAAAATCTTTTGCAGAGTTGTTTGAAAAAAGGTCTTGCCAAATATGCATCTAGGATGATCCATGTAGCAGCAGCTACAGAAAACAATTTAATTGCTCTCTGCTATCTCCCTTTGGCAAGAAAAAAAAGGTTTGCAGCATTCCATGGTGTCATTTATGTCCTTTTTATGGTTGCATGTACATCCCTTCATAGCCATCTGCTAGTCTCCTCTGATTCACACCAGGGAGCCAAATGAAAGACATGGCTCAGAAAAGAAGGAAAACGCTAGGTGACAGGAAAGAAGGCACTCTTGCTTTCCTGAGTATCAAAATCTAAGCACACACCGCTTCTTTCTGCTTACATACTTGATACAGTTACTCTTAACACAATAGAAAGCACAGGTGTGAAGAATTAAAATTTGACTCTGTAGCTTGTAATTTATTTTCAAGAAAGAATGACAATAATATGACTCTCTTTTCCATGATTTTTAGTTCTGGGGGTGTCTAAATTCTATCTTCACAAATAAATGCTTGCAAAAATCATCTTAAGACAAAACATCTAATCATAGTGGATAAAATATGAAACAAACAAGCATCATATAAAACTCTTGGCTGAATCTGGAAGAAAAGTAAGGATGAGACAAAAGTCCTTGATCGCTTTAAGGATCTCTGCAATCCTTGGAAATCACATACTGCAATCTTTCACCTGTATCAGGAATGATATTAGAGTAATGAGATCTTTGTGAGATAGAGACCTCCACTCCTGGCCAACAAAAGTGACTAATATAAGAATTAAAAAAGCTGACTTCTTGATTGAAACTGGAGAATTCAGAAGACAATAGAATTATTCCTTCAAGAGTTGAGAGAATTAATTACTATACATAGAAAATACTATTCATATTTTAAGATGGAAGAATGATGCTGTGACATAAAGCAAAAAATGGAAGGAAAGAATGGAAAACAATGTTTTCATGGCTATTAGACCTGCACAGGTAAGAAATGCTAATGGAAATTATTTTCTAGCTGAAGTGAATGCTTCCCGATGGTAATGAGGATTCTTTCATTTTCCTAGATGTAATTTTTCTTTTTTTCTTTGTTTTAAATAACTCTAGCTATGATACATTCATGGTAATTTTTTTTTATTCATAGAAGTACTTGCTTCACTACACTTTAGAAATTCTCAAACAAGAGCTCGAGATTTGGCTCAGCGGCATAACTGCCTGCCTGGCAAGTGTGAGTTTGATCCCCGGTACAAAACAACAACAACAACAAAAAAAAAAAAACCCAAAAAAGAAATTCTCATACAACCTCTTTTTTTGACACATTTTATTTTTTCTTCCTCTTGACTGTTTATTATATTTTTAACTTCAACCAACCTGCACTATTTTTCAGTCTCCTTTTATTCTTGCTTTTGAATATTTTAAGTCTTTGTTTGAATTTAAAAATCTTATCTTCCAGGGATTATAACTGCTATTAAGTTATCCAGTGTTTATTATTTCTGATATTATAACTTGATGTCTTAAAATAATTTCTTTATTCATTCTATTGTGTTTCTTCATCAAAATATCACATCACTTAAAATTTTATTTGTCTCCATTTAAGTCAGCA